AAATTCAATATTAGGCTTCCCATCAGACCAGGAGATAGGATCTTTGTCTCCAGATGAAGAGCCAGGATGAAAGATCTTTCCCATCCCTATAGTATTGTATCCATGCTCCTTGAAGTACTGGGGGATAGTGGTGAAGTTCCCTCCCACATTTCTCCAGTAATGGTGAAGGTCATAAACATGAGTTGAGTCGGGTCTTCTCCCAGTCAACGCTGACGCTCTGCTGGGCCCACACACAGCGTACTGACAATAGCCTCGTGTTAACAGAAGACTCTTCTTTGCAAGGGCATCCAGATTGGGTGTGTGCATCTTAGGGTGGGTCGGGGATGGGAAGTGAGGTCCCTCGTAGCATCCTAGCTGAGGTCGTAGATCATCCACTACAAGGAACAGAACATTCTTGTTCCCGCCAGCCGTGGCAAGGCAGGAGAGAAATAATACCACTACAATTGGTTTCATACCTCTTGAAGTAACACTGGAAAGAGTAGACACAACCTATATAGCAGCCGACTGATAAGACATAAACACGTGACTACTGTTTTTCCTCATATCTGGAGGCTTCTTTGTGTGAAAACAAAGTATATATACTCTGCCAAAAAAGAAACGGAAAAGTGTTTTTTGTATGTTATAAAAAATAATCATCAGATCATAATAATTTGTTCAATTTGGCACAAGTCATTGTAAGTGAATGAGATTCATTATGACACACACTAAACAATCGAATGTGAAGGTGAAGGGCATCTGTTTTCGATATTTTTGTTGTCCTCATGAGAGTTCAGAACTGCCTGGCGTCGTTGCCTCATGGAACCAATCAGATTACGAATTGTGCCGTTTGGAATGTTCACCCATAACTCCTGCAGGTTTGTGGAAGTTCTGTGTCTAATGCTTGATCTCAGACGTTGATCAAGAGCAAGGAACAGAACATTCTTGTTTCCGCCAGCAGAGACTAGTCAGGAGAGAAATAACACCAGAGCAATTAGTTTCATACCTCTTGAAGTAACACTGGAAAGAGTAGACACAACCCATAAAGCATTTTTCCAATTTTTCTATTTTTGCGTTTCTTTTTTTGCAGTGTAACATATAGATGTGTAATCATGAACTAATCTAAATGTCATAACTGGCTGAAACAGTCTGCGCTGGTTCTGTGGCGTTACTGTGTTCCATGCTGGGAAATGATGTCAGGGTTTGCGTATGAACGCCGTTATTCTTGCATTACAAAGCGTCAAAAGTAATGTGTTTCAAAAGTAATCAACCAACCGTAGTCTGTTCCTACTATCACACCAAACCCATTATGATAGAATATACTGTCCACAAAGTCGTGATTGAAGAGGCAGTGTCGAGCTGATCTTGGTTGGAGCAGGTTGGAGATTCAGGGCATTTTAAGTACTACGCAGAGCTATTTTAAGTACTACGCAGAGCTATGTCGTGCCTGACTTATTCAATTCTTCATGTCTAGCTGGTCACTGGTCAAGCCATGAAAACTTAACCATTTTTTAAAACCGAATAAGTATGAAAAGGGCAGACTTTTTGCCAGTTATATTAATTCAAAGAGGCATATTTGCTTTAAACATATTTCATTCACAAGTGGAACCATTGCTGGAACACTTGAACAGTCTCTCTTTACGTCGTTTTAAAAAGCGCCATAGAATATTAATGCCATCTTTGTCACTGATGTGTCACAGAAGGAAATGCCCCAAGCATACCTTCAATACATGTCTTGGAATTATTAACTCAGGCCACGATTATGGTGAGCGAATACCACCCCGTATTCAAGACAAAACTGAGGTAGTTAATGTCGCTTGGGAAACCCGTGCGCCAATTGCTGCACATGATGTCTTTAAGGGGAAGTCACTCTTATCACCATGAGTGATAATATTTGCCTACGACATATCACAGATCAAACAACTTTTGAACCAAGTTGTAACCATCATCTACGTCACATTATACTTCCTTCCTGATAATGATGAAATAACTGTTCACAGTGCCGTTTTCGATTTATATACCAGTACAAATTTGCAAATGATCACAACTTTAAAAAGTACTAAATGAAAGCGTGACCTCCTGTTGAAGTACCCCGAGACAACATTGCGTGAGGACGCGTTTACTGAACAAAGGTCCGTTGTCAGCGAACAACATCTGAATTAATAATCAGTCAGATTAGACGTCAAAATGAGAATAAGTGACCAAACGTCAATATTCTTCAACAATCAACCCTCAGTATTGCTTATGTGATCAGTGTGATGAGATCACAGTGTTTCCTTGTCTCATGCTTCCAAACGGAGTCTGGATGGTAAAACTGTTCGTCTCTTCTGTGAGATCATTGCCGAGTTCCCTCAGAGTTGTTGAAAGGACAGGATGTCGTGTCTGATAGGGCTGAGGTCTGGAATGTAGGAAAGGAAGTCACATATAAATAGTCACGGAAAAAAGTCACATAAAAAATGTCACAGTGCAATGATATACATTAGAGGGTTGTAAAATTGCCAAAAACGCTATTTAACTGTTTCTTAATTGAACCAATTGCTTAGTATATTACTTTGATTATGTTTTGTCAATATAGCAATTACTGGGTGGCTTCTCAAATGTTATAAAAGCACTATGACCACAATTAGCGGTAATTTTTGTGTGTGATGATTGTCTGTTTATTTACCTAATACGTAGACATAAGACTTGGCTTCTTATTCTGATCGAGTGTTAGAGCAAGTTAATTAATTGGCCTTACACTTTTCCATCATAGTAATATCAAGAGCATCAAAGGCGGTTTGGAAATAGCATTTGAAGGACACATGTACAGTAAGCATGCAAGAACAAAATCTGGTGGAAATGTACAAAGAGGTCCATTATGGCCTGAATTTAATACAATTGGTTATTGTGACGTATTTCCTGTGACTTTCTTTCCGATTATCGAGGTCTGGTAAAAGAGCCGGTCAGTCCCGTGGTCTCCTGCTGTAAGTTGTCATAACCGACCTGACACAAGTAGATCGTGCGTTATCGTCCTTTTTCACATAATTATAACCATAACTTTAGCAGACTTTAAGAAGTAAAATGCATGTTTCAGCTGTTACACACCCTCTCACTGAAGGTTAGCTTTCTTTACAAGTATATCCTTTATGATACCCATAAGGGCCAGACATTTGTAACGCTATCAGTGATAAACCCTTTATATATATCTCTGATGTGCTTCTCGGCTTTGTCACTGGAGTATACATGACGTGGTTTCAGAGACAGGTTTCAGTAAACCGCTTGACGATGTTAAACATTTTTATAAATGTTTACAGCTTGTAAGACACAAGGTAAGGTATGTTACTCAGGAATGCTCCATGTCTTCTAGATCTAGTCACATCAAGTAACACGAGGAAAGACCACCAGGAAAAGGGCCAGTGTCTGCACTTAAAAAGCATGTTTTATGTACAACAAAGATCCAAGATATGATCTTATTGCCGCCAAGGTCCATGAATACCATCATTAAAATGCACAAAAAGATAACCTAAACAAAGAAATTAGAAAGACACCAAACATTGGATACAGAAAAGTAAGTAACACGGTTTCCACATTCCTACGCTTGCCTAAATCACAGTGTTTGACAAACCTTAAAAACCTATCTTTACCAGCTTAGATAACCACCTACCAGTTCTCGGAAATAAGCCAAAGTTGGTCATGTTACCTTCTAACTACTCCGTAATTGTTGTCTGTCTGTAAATGTCTGGCGTCGTCCCGAATCAATGAGCTATGTCATGACACTCGAGACCCACTGTAAACAATAACAATGAGAGACTTTTTTCAATTGTATGTCGACAGGTCTACACATATATTACAAACCCCTACCCACAATCAGACCCTGGTCAAATGAGATGAAATTGGGATCATTGATGTTGTGTTCAAAGTTATTACACTTAAGTGTTAGAGCGACACGTAGTGTTTGAGTATAAATCGGCGTCGTTGAGGATGACATTTTCACAAATCATATATATTATACATTCGTTATGAATGGCGTAACATCTGCTTGTGAAACGTGTGTCTGTGTAAAAGTGGACTGAAATCACCACTCACCTGCCTCCAACACTCGCACAAGAAACAAAAATGGTGATTTACACAATTTACAATTTGTAAAGGTCATATTTACAATTTGATTTTGTAAAGTTGATATTTACAAAGCTTGTACATTTTTGTAAATTTAGGAAGGATTTAGTACTACTTCTTTCAGTTTATCCTTTTCCGGATCCGCTGTTTTAATGTCTCTCTGATGTCAATCTCAGGAGGAGAGTATAGACTTAATTATTTTATACATGAGAACTGCATGAACACGCCATATTTTAATATTATCCATTGATCCCATGTATCAAAGCAATAATTGCATCTGACACGTAACGGGATAGCATAAACATTTTGAAAAGTTGAGATAATCTTTGAAGTAAGTAAGTAAGCTATTCTCCGTCCTCTTTGATCAACTAGGAACCAAGTCTATATATTCGTATAACTTCACTCAATCTCCATCCTTCTTGTTCTATGTGTCAACAATAATATATTGACTGTATGATAAGAACTATGTTGTATTTACCGCTAGTATGGTAAGTATTTTCCAAAATACCGTTATCCAGAAAGCGCAAAGATGTATAATTGTCTTTCCTGTCAATGTTCGCCTACACCACTCACGTGCCTTCACCCAAAAAACCCAGACTCATCTACCCACTTTCATGACCCACATATTAAACTCCATGAAAAGGTGGAGAGAATGGTGAGAGAGAGAGAGAGAGAGAGAGAGAGAGAGAGAGAGAGAGAGAGAGAGAGAGAGAGAGAGAGAGAGAGAGAGAGAGAGAGAGAGAGAGAGACCAACTTCTATGTTCTATGAATAGTCAACTTCTTTATTGCAATGTATGCGACGTTAACTTTATCGTACCCTAACCTAACCTGTGTTAGCTTTCTCAGTACAAAAGATTGTTTACAATTCAATAGACGTAAATGCACTCACTCTTGACATACATGGGAAACTATTTATTATATACCGCGTCCATGTTACGAGTATTTGTATGTATCTCCAGGTACACAATACCTGTATATGCTATTCTTAAGCCGGTGACCAATAGGACACGTGGAATCCACCGCGTGATGTACGTACATATCCCCACGCGGGCTCTGTATATATAAATATCCGAGGTGTTCATCCGTATTCACCCTGTATCAGCCGAGGTCGACCGAGGTTGCCCGACTGTGTTGGTCCCGAGAGTTGTCGGTGTATACCTGAACATGAAACAACTACTACTTTGTGGAATTATATTGCTGACCGTGCACCTCTCTCTGGCCTCAGGTAGGGGACTTCTTTATATCACTGTGCCACGTCAATTTGTCGGGGTCATGGATAAACAACACTTACTTTGTTGACATCGTTGTAGAACAGGTAGGAGTGGTGTGTTTATACTCATATGACATTGTTATATACATTGTACAGAATCTGGCAATGTACATCTATTTCGCTATGAGATTAAGAAAAAGTATTGTTGCAGAAAAGAATTGATAAATGACTTCTATCTACTCATGTAAACGCTAAATGTACTACAGGCCTGTGGCCTTTTTAAGTACTGAAATAAAGATTGATTGATTGATTGACATTGTTATGCATTCACTTGCCCGCACCACTCACATGCATCGAATATCTGTCCCAATCGCTACCAATTATCTTCAGACGTGTCAACATGTGTCGATAGTTTTAAACATTTAAATGTACACCGAACAGCTAATAAATTCAGCGTCAGAGAACATGTTGGGATGGTGAACCAGGAAGGTATCACATGATATCACCCAGGCGATAATTCTTATGTCGCCAGATTTTCAGTGATAAATTCTAGTATTCGCCGTCTCCGTAAAGTGCTTATATTTTGCATAGCCCATGGAGAGCTTACTTGCAGACAATCACTGATTCTGTGTAGCGTTCGCCACAAACAGCAACACCAATAAAAACGTTCAATCTTCGTTCTGGGACTTTACACATGTTTATCCAAATGAATAGTCGCCCGTGTTCAGTGAACATAGTCTCCACAGCAGCAAGGTGGGCGGGGTAGATGTATCAGATGTCAACAGGGAAAGATGAGAGAAAAAGCAACTGACAGGAATAAGTTCAGTGTGTTGTATTTTATCAAACAACTGACATAGGTCTAGAGTTAAGTGTGCATTCTCTAAAAAAACAAATGGAATATACTCAGTGTGTTGTTCTGGATGGTTGAAGGAAATGACTGCCGGAACCGTACATCATGGGGCGGGGGTACTTTCATACATGCACGACTGGAAGGGGATGCCTCACCGGCTACATCATTAGAAGCTATTGTGTTGCTCGTCACCAGTAATCCAACAGTCTGTCCATGTTCGGGGCTGCTGCTGCTGCTGATGACATCAACACAATGACATCAAACCAACAGAGTGGAACCACCCGGCCTCGTATCTACATCGAGTTGACCTATATACCTGTATACATATTGAATGATGGGTTCTCCTCTTGACCTGCTTGTCGAGTGAAAGGGAATATACTGTAAATCTTGAATTAATGCGCCTCCAAATTAATGCGACTGTTGCCCCCTTGACAAAAGTTCGAGTCCACATTAATTGTATGCAGTGATAAAATGGCTGCTGTGAAATTTACTGGACATGTGTTCAAGCCTCACCGTAAATTAACCTGACATTAATCTAATATAATCAAACAGGAAACAGCACAGCTTATTAGCTTGGAGTAGTTCCACAAAGAACCGCACGAAACCTTGATAAAACAACATTTCATTGATTGGTATGAAAGAAGAAGTGTTTATGATCATGTACAAATACACTCTTCAAAAAAAGAATAAGCCATTTTTAGAAGAGTGAGTGAGTGAATATTGCTTGACGCAGCATCAGCAATGTTGCAGCTATTCGTGGCGACATTTTTAGAAGAATTTATTGCGTTAGTTTAAGAGCAATAGATACATAGATATTCTTTATTTCTTCCAAAGTTTGAAGGTTACAAATGTATATCATACAGTCATATTAATGGCACATGATACAACAGAAATGTACATGAAATAATTTATACAGGGGTAAGGTGAAATACAACAATTAAAATATTTTTAGGTACAGAATTCGAGACACATATTATAACATTTGCCAACACATCATAGTTTAACTGGTCCTTTACATCTTCCGGTATTTCACCAAGTAGAAATTTCATAAATTCATCATCATCATAGGTCCATAATTTTACAAACATATTAACATCAAGTAAGTCACAAATTTTTTCAAATAAGACATTTCTTTCAGCAATATTAATCTTACAAGACATGCTTGGCATGTTTTCTTGGTGACGAATATTTCTTCAAACGCTTCTAAAACAAGGGAAAATGTTAAAATTGCCACGTTTCGGCCCTGAAGCTGTTTACAATCACACAAAGATGACGTTTTGGAAAGAAATAGTATATTTGTATTGGTTTTGTCGCAGCTGCATGAGTCCAATATTCTCAAAATCACCTATGCGTTTCTTTTTGAAGAGTGTATATTGACATGCTCGAAACGTGAATTGCTTTCTATGTAGGCATAGGTACACCGCCCGACTGTCGCACCTAAAACATTAATACACGTGTGAAGAAAACTCGCAATCGTTTCATGATTTTCATGAGAGACTATTTATGTTGGAAGTAAGTAAACAAGACTAAAACGTCTAGCCTAAATGTAGTTTCGAAATCGAAAATTTATGTTATCGTTGCAAATTACAAATTTGTTTGATTCATAGTGACATCTGATTAATCGTCTTCACTTGATAGACACACTTCTCTTTCTGTTCTGCTGTCAAACCTACTTCAGCTTACCTCGGGATATTATTGATATGTGCGAATATGTGTAAGGTCATTGTGCGAAAATTCAACATTTTTATCGGCGTTATTGTCTGTTGGTGTTAACGCAAGTTATCTACTGAACACTACACTGAAGCAGCGAGTCAACTCCCCACTATGACGTCATGTCACGTAATGTGTACACTGCTCGTTAACTCTAGTTTCCGGAACAAGAGCAGTTTTTAAACATTTCTGGCTACAAATGTTGACTTCTTAAAAAATTGTTCTTCAAGATATTTCTGCTATCTAACTACTAACCACTAAAAACTCCGTTTCGTAGGTATCGTTTCTCAAGGGGAGAAAGGTTATCTCCCTTCGTACTTGCTAACGATCATAAAACGTTCTTGTGGGAACATAATGAAAATGGAGGGATGTGTACCATCATGTAAGTTCTAGTGTTGGATAGTTATTGTCGGTTGTATGTTCTTCTTGAGTTGTTTGAGTTGTGTTGTTTGTATATCTGTTGTTTTTATGTTTTATATATCTATGTTGTTTTTATGTTTTATATATCTATGTTGTTTTTTCTGCTATCCAGATTGATACCATCATGTCTACAGTCATTTTTGAAACTCAATTGCGAAGTTTAATTAATGCCAACAAAGACTACTCTCACCTTTCGCATTCAGGCCACGCGCGTTAATTTCAAACTTTACAGTAGTTAATACTACACGAACTTGTTATTCCGACAGCGCGCGTGGCAGACCAAAGCTAGCCGTGTTTCCCCCTGACAGAGACAGACAGACAGACAGACAGACAGTTTATTCACGTGTCACCTCATTACATTAAAATACAAACTTAGCGCGATATACATTGGTACTGGTACAAAAGTGTTTAAAAATGCAATGAGCCACTCTATACAGAGTTAAGAGAGACTATTAAGAGATAGACATAAGGACCTATACAATGCATATTTGTATAATGTTATAACTGAAAATAATAGTTGAACCCCCTGAGTCCCCCATTGACTCCGCCAACGCAAAAAAGAATCTTCAATGTGGTCTTAAGTCATTTTCGAAAGGGGAGTTCGAACCCCCTGAACCCCTCTCTGTATCCGCCAATGATAACATATAGTGAGTCCTTTAAGTGAGTATAACCTTTTGATGGGTAGTATATAAATGCATCAGAAGGGATAAAGGAAATATTCGTTTACATTTTAAAATAGAAGTATGGGTTTTGGCAGCTAAAGGACATATCACAGGGTTTGAAAATATAAAACTGGCATCTGTACATCCTGGGGCGTTCACAGTTCACCATAATGACTTCACAGCGTCTAATCAACTCAAATATTGTCGTATCGAGAGACATCGTAAGAGAGCATGACATTCATCTTCTACAGCTTCTTGACATGTTCTTTCATCCAGAGGCGTGTTGGAAAATCGGCCGGTCTCTATTCTAAGTGGTGCATCTCCACTCCTAACCTTGGCCAGTGCACTTCTGTGTGATCTAGGCATTTCACTTGATGGAGTTTTGTGTCAGCTGGTTTCAGCTGGTGCCACACCACAATACGCTGGAATACGGAACAGTATCTCAGCTTCATGACGTTTAGGGGCATTTGGAGATAGTCGTTGCATAAAAGTCGTAACATACCATCACTGTCTCTCCTACTGGGCGTTAACTGGTTTTAAGAAGCCGTATGGTTCTGATAACCAAATATCAAGTTTAATAACTGATGATATCGGATGAATATCCCCACTCCTTATCCTCATCTCAGTCGTGGGGTGATATCTTGAACTTCCGATGTAATGAATTTCCTAAGCCAAGTGTTTTGTTTGTTGTAAAAAAACAAACAAACAAACAAACAAACGACAACAACAACAAATGCTTAAATCTAAATGTATTTATTCACTCAGCAATATTCCCGCTATATGGCGGCAGTCTGTAAAAGTATCCAGTTTGTACCAGAAACCCAGTGATCAACAGCATGAGCACAATGATCAACGCAACACGTATCAACCAAGACAGCGAGCCTGACCAGCCCACAAGTATAGCTTGCTGAAGAACAAGTCTAACGCGAATCTTCCCTTAGCCAAGATGCATCGTAACCCTCCCAGTTGTAGATAAAATAATTTATTTTTATGTATGCAAACAAGCATTGTTATGGTAAATCTAATTTGGCGAGCTGATAGGTCAGTTGTTGCAAGTACCGACCTCGGGGCATACTGATATCTGGGACGGGTTTGTTATTCAAACCTGTATCTCCAACAGACAGACTTTGGCCAAATCTTTCTGAAACTGTCCCCAACTATCTTGCATAAAGAACAGTTTTAGTTTCAACAAAATGTCTCCACCATCAAAGGTCTGAGAGCACAACTCTGTGAGGAAATGGATGTCTACCTTTGATGGTGGCGATATTTTATTTTGACATCAAAAATATTTTTCGAACCGAAGTGAGGGAAGTACGTTGCCAACCTTTGCTCGCTGTGCCAGCATATAGGAAGACTGGTCATTTTCCCTATTAGCGCTACGGTGGTTCACCCATCATTTGACGGTCTACAGGCAGCCGCATGGAAGATCTTTCTGCTGTGCCTTATAAGCAAATGGAGATTTCTTATTCCCTGGAGTTGACATTGATTATTCATAATAAGAGATATACGAGGGGCAATCAAAAAGTTGTCGGGTTCACCTAGAAAATGATACAAGTGCATCTGTTTTTAATTTTATGTTTTATTTTTTGTACATACATGTATTTCTGTCAACTTCAAGCAAATAGGTTTTGCTATGTTCCAGCATCACGATCCCCATTTTGTTTGACTTTTTATCTCGGTCCCCCCCAAAACGCTCAATAAATGCATCACAAACTTCAGGAAACAAAATATGCAAGCTAAGAGATAGGTAGAAGTCCGCTAGAATGAAACTTAGGTATTAAAGTGCACAAAAAGAAATTTGAAACTACAATCGCTTGTTAAAGTGACTCCTCCCTTCATGTTTACAGAAAGAGCTTGTTTTGGAGACACTACCTTTCAGATGACGTAAGCATAAGAACATAATTTATTCTAATGTTTTCACTTATTCATACATGATGCCAAGGGTTCAAACTAAATACTGAATGGTCACACAGGTGTCAGCTCTCACTTTATTGTATACAGTGTCAGCTTGAATATCTGGACACAAAGTTTTTGAAAGGCTAAAATGAGGGTGTCCTAAATAAACAGCCCCCTAATCAGGAATGCTAAACTGTATTTAGATTTCCTTAATCTGAACGGAAAATCAATACTTTTTCAAATGAAACTGACGAAAGAAAGAACTAATATGTCCCTATTAATTATTATAACCGAAACTGGATTCTGAAATCAGAATGGATAAAAAAAGAAGAACGGAGAGGTAATCGGAAATGGGCGTCACACATTGTACCCCTGAGGGACATCGAACCCGGGTCTTTAATCATTATGCTACCCAACCGCGTAACGGAAACTGGAGTAAGAATAATGTTTTTTAAAGAAGCACTGTCATGGTCTTATAAAACGAACATGTTCATGGGACAGAAACTACGGCTGCTCTGATTGTCCTGTCGTGTATATTTATATTTTAAGATTGATATCAAATGTATTTCATTTCATGTAACGTTCCAAGTTTTGACATTCCTATAACAAATTAAGTAGGTGTCATCTCTATTGGATAGGGACTCACATGATATTGTCGGTACAATACAATCGACCTTGTTTTTGTGTTGATGTGGAAAGGTGGTTGTATTTTTAACATGGTGCATTCATTCCTGGTATGACCTACACAGTATTTTAACACACAGATCTGATATCGTACTCCCCAAAAGTTAACATCCATGCTGAAGTGTACACACGCCATGCCTGTTCAATTCTATATTTAAATGTTTGGTACAGGTTTTTGTGAGAGAGACACCAGCTCATCACATCTGCCTGCTGTTTATCAAAAGATTAAAGTAAATCCTTAATATAGTTTTGTAGGTGCCACTGGTCAATATACTTCAGTGAAGTGAAGATGGACAGCGATGAGTGTATTCATTGATATAAGCTCAAATCACTACCCATAGCTATCAATCACCTTTGTGTGAGTATATCTCTACTTGTTTCGACAAAACTCCTGATCGGCGATCGACATGTTTATATTATCAGCCGATCGCGATCGTTTGCGAGAAACAGTTTCTTCATAGATATCTTCAAACAATTTGAGTAGCACCGACATGTTTTATTCTTACATTAAGGATCACAGTATTCCAATGGCAATTTCACTGTTCAACGAAAATGAATACTTATACATATATACTATCATATAAAAATATAGGCAATGTTTATGTTGTAAAAAGTAGAGAATGAGGTGGGTTTACTTTGTATATTTCTTCTGCTTTCAGTTTTAAGGAACAGAGTTCCATCCCTTAAGCATTACAGGATCCAGTGGCAGTGGCTCTGCTTAAGGTTCTTTATTAGTCACTACTGTATATATAAACAAGAGCCTAAGCCGTAAGCGACGAGACCACATCAATTTGTTCTTTTTCTCTCACATGAAGCAGCCACACTGTGACTGCGGAATATTGTCCAGAACGGCGTTAATCCGAACTTGATCACAATTTAATAAACCCAACTTGACCACACACTTTAAAACCCAGCTTGTTAACACGCTTTTAAACCCAACTTATCCACACACTTATAAACACATCTTGCTCTCACACTTTTAAACACATCTTGCTCACACTTTTAAACACAGCTTGTCCAAACACTTTTAAACCAACTTGTCCACACACTTTTAAACCCAGCTTGTCCACACACTTATAAACACATCTTACTCTCACACTTTTAAACCCAGCTTGTCCACACACTTATAAACACATCTTACTCTCACACTTTTAAACCCAGCTTGTCCAGACACTTTTAAACCTAACTTGTCCTCACACTTATAAAGCCAACTTTTCACAAACTTATAGATTCAACTTCAAATTCAGATTTAGACACATTTCTAAAGCTGCATACGGAGATGTTTGTAACTCAGTGGGGTTCAAATGATTCAGACACAGTTCTATAGTTGAATACAATAACCTGTATTTCACAGTGGCGTCTACCCACGAGTGCAAGCGGACATGCCAGGAGAACGAACTACCCCGGGTGTGTGTGTACAACTTCACTGTGGAGTGGTACAGAACGCTATCTAAGGTGAGATAGTCAAATGAAGACCGAACGACTCTTTCATATAAGTATAGTTACTCTGTCGTGTCATCTGAGATTGAGCCGCCATATTGATGGAATATTGCTGAGTGCGGCGTAAAACTAAACTCACTCACTCATCTGAGATTGATTACATTAATAGGAAAGAACTGGGTCGCCTTTAAATCATTTTAGAATATATATGTTCCAAAACTTCCTACATACTAGATATATCATCTGATATATCTGTAGCGTAAAATGTTTCTCAGATAATTTTCTGGGTTGTTAGATGAAGTGGTTAGATAAGCCGTTCAAATATCCAACATGAGTACAATCTATGAAGTCTATTTAATCATGGTGTCCCTCCAGCGCTTATAGCCTATTCATTGTGTCTGTTCAGGCATGCTACGATTGTCCCTTCAACCACTCGGACTGTTTTCGGCCGCACTGTGTGTCCGGAGATGGGAGGATTAAACCCTTGATCGCAGTCAACAGACAAGTGCCCGGGCCATCTATTGAGGTCAGTGTGAACGCCGTACCTTTGCCATGAACGAATTCATTGACATACATATGCCGTGTACAGTGAATACAGTGGTAACTTTAGGCTTGGAACGCATTTTGACTATTGAAGAGCCATGCATCCCGATTAAGGGTATAAAACGTGTGTGCAATAAATAAATACATATGTCATATTGATAACATGTAACGTGTATGTGAAATAAATCATTTTGAGTTATTATATACTCAGGGAAAAAAATAAGGGATCACATAAAAGCACAAGTGTTCCTTTATTTATTTGTATTTAAAGCATTGTGACGCCACATATAGTCCTCTGTCAAAGGTATGTGAAGGTGGCTGTGTGGTAATGTGTTGTGACGTCAAAACCCCTGTTGTAGCTGTGTGAGGGTGACGTAATAACTCCTCTGTTGTAGCTGCGTGAGGGTGACGTAATAACTCCTCTGTTGTAGCTGTGTGAGGTGACGTCATAACACCTCTGCTTTAGCTGTGTGAGGGTGATGTCATAACTCCTCTATTGTAGCTGTGAAAGTTTGACGTCATAACACCTCTGTTGTAGCTGTGTGAGGGTGACGTCATAAATGCTCTGTTGTAGCTGTGTGAGGGTGACGTCATAACTCATCTGCTGTGCATAAATGAGGGCGACGTCATAACACCTCTGTTGTAGCTGTGTGAGGGTGACGTCATGACTCCTCTGTTGTAGGTGTGTGAGGGTGACCGCATACTGGTTTGTTGTGACGTCACATACTCTTCTCTTGTAGCTGTGTGAGGTGACGTCATGACCCTCTGCTATAGGCGTGTGAGGGTGACGTCATGACTCCTCTGTTGTAGGTGTGTGAGGGTAACCGCGTGGTGTTGTGATGTGACGTCATATACTCCTCTGTTGTAGGTGTGTGAGGGTGACCGCGTGGTGGTGTGGTGTGACGTCATATACTCTTCTGTTGTAGGTGTGTGAGGGTGGCCGCGTGGTGGTGTGGTGTGACGTCACATACTCCTCTGTTGTAGGTATGTGAGGGTGACCGCGTGGTGGTGTGTTGTGACGTCACATACTCCTCTGTTGTAGGTGTGTGGGGGTGACCGCGTGGTGGTGTGTTGTGACGTCACATACTCCTCTGTTGTAGGTGTGTGAGGGTGACCGTGTGGTGGTGTTGTGGTGTGACGTCACATACTCCTCTGTTGTAGGTGTGAGGGTGACCGTGTGGTGGTGTGTTGTGACGTCACATACTCCTCTGTTGTAGGTGTGTGAGGGTGACCGTGTGGTGGTGTGTGTGTGACGTCACATACTCCTCTGTTGTAGGTGTGTGAGGATGACCGTGTGGTGTTGTGGTGTGACGTCACATACTCTGTTGTAGGTGTGTGAGGGTGACCGTGTGGTGTTGTGGTGTGACGTCACATACTCCTCTGTTGTAGGTGTGTGAGGGTGACCGTGTGGTGTTGTGGTGTGACGTCACATACTCCTCTGTTGTAGGTGTGTGAGGGTGACCGTGTGGTGTTGTGGTGTGACGTCACATACTCCTCTGTTGTAGGTGTGTGAGGGTGACCGTGTGGTGTTGTGGTGTGACGTCACATACTCCTCTGTTGTAGGTGTGTGAGGGTGACCGTGTGGTGTTGTGGTGTGACGTCACATACTCCTCTGTTGTAGGTGTGTGAGGGTGACCGTGTGGTGGTGTGTTGTGACGTCACATACTCCTCTGTTGTAGGTGTGTGAGGGTGATCGCGTGGTGTTGTGGTGTGACGTCACATACTCCTCTGTTGTAGGTGTGTGAGGGTGACCGTGTGGTGGGTGTGGTGTGACGTCACATACTCCCTCTGTTGTAGGTGTGTGAGGGTGACCGTGTGGTGTTGTGGTGTGACGTCACATACTCCTCTGTTGTAGGTATGTGAGGGTGACCGCGTGGTGGTGTGGTGTGACGTCATATACTCCTCTGTTGTAGGTGTGTGAGGGTGACCGTGTGGTGTTGTGGTGTGACGTCACATACTCCTCTGTTGTAGGTGTGTGAGGGTGACCGTGTGGTGTTGTGGTGTGACGTCACATACTCCTCTGTTGTAGGTGTGTGAGGATGACCGTGTGGTGTTGTGGTGTGACTTCACATACTCCTCTGTTGTACCGTGCTTCAGGTGGGTGTGTGAGGATGACCGTGTGGTGTTGTGGTGTGACGTCACATACTCCTCTGTTGTAGGTGTGTGAGGGTGACCGTGTGGTGTTGTGGTGTGACGTCACATTCTCCTCTGTTGTAGGTGTGTGAGGGTGACCGTGTGGTGTTGTGGTGTGACGTCACATACTCCTCTGTTGTAGATGTGTGAGGGTGACCGCGTGGTGTGACGTCACATACTCCTCTGTTGTAGGTGTGTGAGGATGACCGTGTGGTGTTGTGGTGTGACGTCACATACTCTGTTGTAGGTGTGTGAGGGTGACCGTGTGGTGTTGTGGTGTGACGTCACATACTCCTCTGTTGTAGGTGTGTGAGGGTGACCGTGTGGTGTTGTGGTGTGACGTCACATACTCCTCTGTTGTAGGTGTGTGAGGGTGACCGTGTGGTGGTGTGTTGTGACGTCACATACTCCTCTGTTGTAGGTGTGTGAGGGTGACCGCGTGGTGTTGTGGTGTGACGTCACATACTCCTCTGTTGTAGGTGTGTGAGGGTGACCGTGTGGTGGTGTGGTGTGACGTCATATACTCCTCTGTTGTAGGTGTGTGAGGGTGACCGCGTGGTGGTGTGGTGTGACGTCACATACTCCTCTGTTGTAGGTGTGTGAGGGTGACCGTGTGGTGTTGTGGTGTGACGTCACATACTCCTCTGTTGTAGGTGTGTGAGGGTGACCGTGTGGTGTTGTGGTGTGACGTCATACTCCTCTGTTGTAGGTGTGTGAGGGTGACCGTGTGGTGTTGTGGTGTGACGTCACATACTCCTCTGTTGTAGGTGTGTGAGGGTGACCGTGTGGTGGTGTGGTGTGACGTCACATACTCCTCTGTTGTAGGTGTGTGAGGGTGACCGTGTGGTGTTGTGGTGTGACGTCACATACTCCTCTGTTGTAGGTGTGTGAGGGTGACCGTGTGGTGGTGTGGTGTGACGTCACATACTCCTCTGTTGTAGGTGTGTGAGGGTGACCGTGTGGTGGTGTGTTGTGACGTCACATGCTCCCCGTTGTAGGTGTGTGAGGGTGACCGTGTGGTGGTGTGGGTGACGAACGACATGGAAGATGGCCAGGCCACAAGTATACACTGGCACGGACAACACCAAATGAGAACTCCATACTCGGACGGAGTTGGTCAAATCACACAGTGCAACATCGGCGTCAAGGAAACTTTTAAGTATGTTTCATTCATTCTGTTTCACTCATAAACATAAATGGTGATTAACCACATGTTTAATATATATCGGCATCATAGAAAAGATTCCTACTTTCGGGAATGTACACGATGTAGTTTGTTTATCAACTGTAAGTGTATGTTGTTTTAGCCCTGCTTTGTGATCAATGGTTTGGTTCAGAGTCAAACTCATACCAAGATATCGCAATAAATACTCCCAATAGAGGGCGGTCTAAAAGAACTGGTGGTTATATATAGTTTTGTATAATATTAATGTTCTGTTGGTCATAATTATAGTGACAGCTCATTTCTTGACTGAATAGGATACCGATAGCGGCCGTCAGGCTTCTTGAACCAATGCAAAGAAATGTTAAATTGTTTTTCTCAATTTCACCTCTCTCGAAAAACCAAAACAAGTTCGGTATTTGGTTGAAACAAAATATTGTTAATGATTCTCGAAGTCATGTTGTACTTGCAACCTGTACAATACATTTCAGATACGAGTTCACAGCCTCGCCTGCCGGCACCCACTGGTACCACGGTCACACAGGCATGCAGCTCGCTGATGGTTTATTCGGTGCCTTCATCGTCCGCCAACCCAAGGACCGTGACCCCAACGGTGCCCTGTACGACGTTGACGATCACGTCATGTTGGTAGGAGACTGGATTCCAGTCACGTCAATGACGAGATACGTAGATCTGATGCATGACCTTTACGACTCATCTCTACCACAGGGACTGCACATCAATGGCAGAGCTCGCAATGTTGATGTCCCAAACAAGTTCAACATCGTCAAGACGAACCTGACCACAGCCAAGACACCAATGGAGGTGTTTGAAGTGACGAGGGGTCAGAAGTACAGACTACGTGTGATTGGATCGTCCGCCAACTGCCCAATACACGTGGCAGTAGAGAAACATCAGCTGCAGGTGATCGCCAATGATGGAATGCCTGTCCGGCCAAGACCAGTCGATGTCTTCATTGTTTTTCCAGGTGAGACTAAGTTGCTTTGTGTTTTCTTAATACTTTCCGGATGAGACTGTTTTGCTCTGTGTTTTTATGAATACTTTCCCGGTGAGACTAAGGTTTGGCCTTTTCTGAATACTTTTCTGGCTGATACTAAGCTTTGGCGTTTTCTGAAAACTTTCCGGGTTGGTACTAAGGTTTGAGTGAGTTCCTCTGGTTTTCTGAATACTTTCCTGGTGAAACCAAGGTTAAATTGGTGTACTTTTTCTGTATACTGTCTACTTTAATCATAAAAGCTGCTGTTTTACATGTTGTTTCATAATGTCCTTCCACGCCTTAAACGAGTTCATAAATCGCCCTCTGTAGGATATAGCAGAAGATGGCGACAGGCCGCTGGATAACACGTAAACATCACTGACACATATACCCAGTCATGCAAATAGTCTTCGCGTACTAATTCACTGGGTAAGGTTGAGCGTGTGCGCGTAATAAAACCGAGACCAACACTACCGAACATTGTTGAGCTTATATTAGGTCGCTAGTTCAATATTTGATGGCTTTGCTCAGGGAGGCTATGCGAACTTAATAGGGTACGTCAACACAGTGCACGTCACGGCGTAGACCGGCAAACATTCCTGTCTCGTTAGATGAAGTGTCTTAGCAATGTACTTACTTACCGCTGGACCTGAACATGGCTGCATCATGGTGTCATCTGTGACAAACTCGTGTCAAATACTCAGCTTTTGATTTGCTGAAACCTAATCCTGAAAGGTATTAAGGGCATCTTTATGTTCTGTTAGGGAATGTGTGGACTCGTTCACGTTCAGTGTGCTGCAGAAATAGAACATGTTTGGGTATACCATACATGCATGCATGCATCCATCCTTACATACATGCATGCATACATACATACATACATACATACATACATACATACATACATACATACATACATACATACATACATACATACATACATACATGCATACATGCATGCATGCATACATACATACATCCATCCATACATACATACATACATACATACATCCATCCATACATACATACATACATACATACATACATACATACATACATACATACATCCATCCATCCATACATACATACATACATACATACATACATACATACATACATACATACATACATACATACATACATACATACATACATACATACATACATACATACATACATACATACAAACATACATACATACATACATACATACATACATACATACATACATACATACATACATACATACATACATACATACATACATACATACAAGTAGTCACTTAACTACATAACATACTTAACTGATCAATCGTCTTTTACACTCTAAAGTATACCGTCAGTTTGATCAACCACGTACCTGCCTTACCTTCTCTCCCCTCCAGTCCTCCGTGGAACATGAGTCAGTGTGTGAGTTCTGTATTACGCCACACTCAATAGCAATATTCCAGCTATATGGCGGCGGTCTGTAAGTAATCGAGTCTGGACCAGACATTCCAGTGATCAGCAGCATGACCATCATTCTAAGCAATTGGGATTCGATGACACGTGTCAATCAAGTCATCGAGTCTGACCACCCTATCCCGTCAGTCGCTTCTTACGACAAGCATGGGTTACTTAGGACCAATTCTAACCAAGATCTTCACGGGTCCCGTGGAACACGAGTGTAAACATAATGTGACTCCTGCTATCACATTCATTTCTGAAATCTAACTGCTGCTTCCTTGTAGGTGAGCGATACGATTTCCTGTTGTTTGCGAACCAGGACGTGGGTAACTACTGGATCAAGGTCGTCGGTTTGGGGGACTGCCGAGTGGCTGATGTGTCTGCGGCTGCCATCTTGAGATATGCGGGGGCACCGGATGAAGACCCCAGTACTGAAACCATGTTCTCGACTGCAGGCGGGGTGAGTCGACAATTATAGCTAACAACTTCATTAACTTATCAAGTTCGAAATCGGTCTTGGTTGTGTGATAAGGGAAAAAATCACGAACGGTGGTTGTAATAAGTAAACACTATAGTCTGTTTGCAGTGAAAACGTACCGATGAATTTCACTTTAAACAAGAAAGTAAATCGAATAAAGTGAAATTAAGATTGCGAATCCTCATAATTTTACCTTGCCAATTGAACATTTAAATATCAGAATTTTATTAAACTTAGGATAACAGTTGTTTAACAAACGATCATAGTTTCAAATCGGTATTATTGGTTTGTTTTACAAGGGTGTATGCACATTAAATGAAACACCGGTAGGGTTGGTCTAAGTTAACGCTCATTTGTTTCAGTGTTCCAACTACTGCGATTACCCCCTTGTAATACAAACCATTTACTTATTTGATTTACTTTTTGGTTTAAAGTGAAATTCATCGGTACGTTTTCACTGCAAACAGACTATAAGTGTTACACTTGATGGTATTTCGATCACCCATCCTGTTTGGAGTCCACGTATACCAAGTACTCCTAAGACAACATCTGACTGTTTCTGACTGAGAGAACATGCCTTTGACTGTTTCTGACTGAGGTAGCAGGCCTCTGACTATTACTGTTTCACAAAGTCTTCCCTTGCTACTCAGTTTACAACGTGTCTGACTGTTGCAGGTGATGTTGAATCCAGTCCCATTGCCAAATTCCGAGTTTTATGGGAGGAATCACAGCTGGCTTCGTCCTAGCGAGCTGCGTTATGCATATGACGTCAACCTGACAAATCAGACTGTGGATACAAGGCTGTATATAGGTAGGAATTATTGGTGTGACACAACAGATACAAAGGTGTATACAGATAGGAAATATTGGTCTGACACAACAGATACAAAGGTGTATACAGATAGGAAATATTGGTCTGACACAACAGATACAAAGGTGTATACAGGTAGGAAATATTGGTCTGACACAACAGATACAAAGGTGTATACAGGTAGGAAATATTGGTCTGACACAACAGATACAAGGGCGTATACAGGTAGGAAATATTGGTCTCAACAGATACAAGGGCGTATACAGGTAGGAAATATTGGTCTGACACAACAGATACAAGGGCGTATACAGGTAGGAAATATTGGTCTGACACAACAGATACAACGGTTTATACAGGTAGGAAATATTGGTCTGACACAACAGATACAAAGGTGCATACAGGTAGGAAATATTGGTCTGACACAACATATACAAAGGTGTATACAGGTAGGAAATATTAGTCTGACACAACAGATACAAAGGTGTATACAGGTAGGAAATATTGGTCTGACACAACAGATACAAAGGTGCATACAGGTAGGAAATATTGGTCTGACACAACATATACAAAGGTGTATACAGGTAGGAAATATTGGTCTGACACAACAGATACAAAGGTGTATACAGGTAGGAAATATTGGTCTGACACAACAGATACAAAGGTGCATACGGGTAGGAAATATTGGTCTGACACAACAGATACAAAGGTGTATACAGGTAGGAAATATTGGTCTGACACAACAGATACAAAGGTGTATACATGTAGGAATTATTGGTCTGACACAACAGATACAAAGGCGTATACAGGTAGGAAATATTGGTCTGACACAACAGATACAAAGGTGCATACGGGTAGGAATTATTGGTCTGACACAACAGATACAAAGGTGTATACAGGTAGGAAATATTGGTCTGACACAACAGATACAAAGGTGTATACAGGTAGGAAATATTGGTCTGACACAACAGATACAAAGGCGTATACAGGTAGGAAATATTGGTCTGACACTACAGATACAAAGGTGTATACAGGTAGGAATTATTGGTCTGACAACAGTCAGTAAGTACCAGTATTGGTTTGAAACTTTGCAAACGTGAAATATACCTTTCTAATAGGTCTTTTGCTGGATTTAAAGCTCCTTCACGAACCAACAGATTCATTGATGTTCCCAACACTTCCACTGATTCTACCAACACATCCACTGATTCTACCAACACTTCCACTGATTCTACCAACACTGTTCACCCTTGTACCTCATTGGTTCCTTGATTCCGTGGACATTATCTGTTTCAGGTATGGAATTCAACAACAACGACAACCAGAAATACAACAACAAGGAACTATATTCAACTGCAGATATTCCGCCCCGGAAAGGACATTTTACACCTGTTATGGATAATGTATCCTTCCACCAAATGTCGATATGAGTTATGAAATATGAAATCGAATCGAGTACTTTTTAAATTGATGCCAACGATATACTGAATACATATATTCAATATAAAACTGAGCATTGTAGCAATATTTCAAGTCAACAAATCGTCTTAACGCATGCGCAGATAACCTTCTTCCTGCCTCCCATCCCAGTATTGTCTCAGCCGGAGGACGTTGATGAATCGTGGTTCTGTAACAGATCAACGATCACGGACTCCGACAAGTGTTTGACGGATCTGTGTTTATGTACACACATGCTTAGGTTTAAGCCAAATGAGGTTAGTCAACTCTATATACGGGCAAAGCGTCTTTAGTGAGTTAGTGATTGATTGTGGATTGTGCTTTAGGGACCGTTCATAATTCATGGCTAGGTGGGGTGATGATGAATTTAAGGGGGGTCGCACATTTTGTTCTGGGGAGCTGGGGGTGGGGTCATCAATTTTGTACACACACTAGGGGGGTCATCAATTTTGTACATAAAATTATGTGTAAAATTATGCTTAGAAATTATGGGATGGGGAAGGGGGTCATTTATTTTGTACATGACATGCAGGGGGTCACTTATTTTGTACATGAATTCTAGGGGGGGGGGGGGAATTCACATTGTACATGCTTCTCCATAAAAATCATCATCAACCCACCTAGCCATAAATTATGATCGGTCCATTAAAATCTATGATTGACCTCAATCGGCGGAATAACCAGCTTGTATTATCCGAAAGAACAGATTCCACTGGAAGTATACAGAAAAAGGCAAAACATACACAAATAGCGATAAAAAAAGTAATGGACAAAAGAGTGAGAAAGTAACTTTAGTTTTACGCCGCTTTTAGCAATACTCCAGCAATATCACGGCGCGGGCTATCGGAAATGGGCTTCACATATTGTACCCATGTGGGGAATCGAACCTGGGTCTTCGGTGTGACGAGCGAACGCTTTAATCACTAGGCTACCCCACCACCTAATGGACTAAGGAAAATCCCTGATGACATGGTGTATGCCAAAAGGGTAAGCATGTCTTGTCCTGCCGCTTTTGTTGTGTGACGACGCGCGTCTGCCACGCTGGAATGGCCAGTGAACACAGAATAAACAGATTTCAATTCGTTCAGACCTCCACATTGGATACTTGTCCCTTTTTGGATTGTTGTTGACAAGTAAGTTGTCGGTTATATGTTATTTTCTTTTTTGACTTCAGATAGTAGAGCTAGTTGTTATAAACGAAGCAAAGACATTCGGGGAAATAGGCCACCCCATGCATCTACACGGCCATAGCTTCTTCATCTTGGGAGAAGGACAGGTGAGTGGTTCAGAAACCTAACAAGAGTCACCAACAATGATGGTACGTAGATGTTGGTATGAGGCCACGGTATTTACATTGGTAAAATGACCATATCGGAACGAAGGTATCCATGACAGAGATGTGTATCTGGTTGAGCTTAGAATTGTCCTCAAACAGATTTAGAATTTAAAACAAATGGGACAAAACTGGAACCTGCCATTGGGCGCATTACACCAATAATACTTCTGAAATCTGCTCAATCCATCCGTCCGACCACACCATACACCACGCGGACGTGTCCGACGTGAAAAAGCCCACATTGTTAAGTATGCGGCAAGCACCTGGAGTGATCGTAGCCCTTTGCACCACTCTTATCTTGTCACATTCCAATAACCATGTTCCAGTTTAACAGTACGTCAACAAACCGGGCTGAGGTGATGCGCCTAGATCAGGAGGGACAGATCCCCCGCAACTACATCAACCCCCCTTACAGAGACACCGTCAACGTGCTCGACGCCGGTTACGTCATCCTCAGATTTCAGGCCAATAATCCAGGTAGACGTCTGTAATTTTATTCAGAATGTACCTTGACATGCTGTACTTCATCATATACTTATTTCTACTGGGAACTATTCTGTCGTGTTATTTGGAAACCATGGTACTATTTATATGTGTTCCGTCATGACGGTGACGTAGACAGGAAAGTAGCGAGTACTACACGAGAGTCTGTCAGATACCATTTAATAACAATGAGTTTTAAAACGTATCTATCGAGCAAAAACAAAATTTCAATTTTCTACTTTGATTTATAAATTTGCAGTGACGAAGAAAAATTGAAATTCGAAAATATAGTCGAAGTAACGAAAAAAACTCGAAATTTCCAAAAATATTGTAAAAAATAGAATAAACTAACAATTTCGGTTTGAAAAATATCTAATGCTACCAAAGTGGTACCAGTTATATCATCCGGGTTTTCTCAACAACAGATGTGTAAGAATTACATGTCCTTCTTTCAGGCTTCTGGTTCTTCCATTGTCACACTGACAGTCATCTGGCCCAGGGGAAGGCCTTGCTGGTGAAGATAGGAGAATACCAGGACTTCCCTCCCATTCCCTCCACCTTCCCAAAGTGTGGAGGGTGGGGCTTCTCTAACGCCAAGAAGAAAGAGGATCGCCCATGTTCGACCAGTGGATCTGCTCAGCACTCGCTTAGTGTCCTGGTGGCCACCTCATTAGCAATACTTGCATGCAGGAGTATTGGCCAAGGGTTCACAACTACCTCTGTTGACAGTATATTATGATCATATACATCTTTTTACAACTTTCATACAAGCTGTATATTTCTTTGCACATGGTATGTACAAGTACTATCACCAGTTAATTAATTCCATGTTTTGAATTTGGGTTTGTTCGAAAATGCTTTTGTCAACAGAAAATAAGGAGGCAGTTTACTGTATCGTTACTTGGTTGCTTTCTACTTGGCAGGCAATACTCAGTATATCTAACAATTGTTGATGTAGAGGTAAGCCCAAATGACGATCGGACGCTTTTTGATTTTCTGGAGACGACATGCAGGCGACTATGGTCATACGCAGACCAGACCATGTTGAACACATTCCAAAGTTAGAACTAAAGTCACGACCTGTGTGTCACTGATGTGTTGGCCCTGGCTCATCTTTGTACAGAGGTCTTAGAGTTAGGCCAACAATTAACACATTTCTACATCAGCCCAGGCCTAGAAAGGTAAGCAGCACTCCATATGACCACACAGCTCTCAATGACCAGCTAGCACTATTAACAGACATTGACATGCATTTGTTTGTTGTGCAAGGACCCTTTGGTAGTATTTCAGTGATTCCTCACAGGCATACCAAAGCCAATGATTTCGATGTCTTTTTGAAAGTTATTATGTATTCTGTAAATATCTATGGCTAAGACCCTTACAAAACAAGAAAAGACACAGTCTAACAAAAACATTGACGTATATGGTCAAAGAAGGGAGAAAGCCCCTTGGTATTTGCACTGTTCAAGTTAAAAGGTCAAAGATAAAGATGTCCAGACACTGTTAAAACTATGAATAAAGCTTTTGATTTCAATTTACTATATATATATGTATCGCAAAGGTGAAACCAGGCTTTATTCCCGACCTGTTTTTCATAGATAAGGGGGACAGAAACATGAGCATATGAACGGCATGTTTAGGTTATTGGTTATTCCGTGTATAGTTTAATTCAAATACATTGGTGCACATTGATTTTGACCCATCCACATTAACATAACCACTCTTCCTTGGCAAAGAGGAACGTTTAGATGTATGTCGCTTCTAGTTGAAATTAGAGATATGCAGATTGGTACACTGGATTATATCCTAATAACGTTTTTAATAAAGTTGCTACTTTTTTCCAGTGTAAGTAACCTTAGGCTCAGTATTATTCGTTACACTGCTATACTGAGTCTAACCTAGTATAAGGTCGCGTCAGCTAACCTTTTGGACTGACCAATCAGAACACAGCTTTCCAAATCGCGAAAGTTAACATTCGCACATACCGTTTGAACCTTTACCTAAAAAACCCGAACGATTCCGAATGCTATTTTGCGCACCATCGCTTCCGAGTGATACACGCAATGAGTAAACAGTCGCTGAAAATAGCCTTTTTGTCAATATGCAAAGATGTTATCTAGCGAAATTGTAAGCAAATAGTAACCATGTCATTAGAAACCCATAAGCGTATATACTGCAGGTCAAATACCTGTGTTTTATGCGGATTTTCGTTTGTTGATAGATCAGTGTCAACGACCAGGGAAGAGAAAATTCAAAAACCGTTTTGTAAGTCCCGCCGAACGCTAACAAGTAGTCGTTGTCTGATTGGTTAAATCCGTTCGGCCGTCTCGCGTTTGATTGGACGGTCATAGGTCGCTCAAAGGTTAGCTGACGCGACCTACTATAGGTTATGTTAGACTCAGTGTAGTCTGTCTCACAGTCCCTGAACCACATTAATTTCCCTACTGCCAAGCCCTCTCTGCCGTGCTATAGCCCTAAATAAAGCAAGTCTAGATTTCCTCAGGTTCTGAATCTCTGGTCTGCCTAGGCCTCCTTTTCGATATAAATGGGCTTGTTTGTTACTATCAAAATTATATATATTCAGAGACTAAACCTTAGTCTAGACTCAGTGTAGCAGTGTAACGAATAATACTGAGTCTAAGTTTACTTAGACTGTACTTTTTTCGATAAACAGATATGAATATCATATTACAATATATATTACGATAAGTAATAAAGCCATGCCAACTGGAATAGTTTTATTGGAAACAGTGTCGTTTCGATGTCAGGCTTGTTTCCATTCTTTACACATTGTGGAGTTATTAGTCTGTGGAATATGTACAGGCATCTCGTGTTTTAGTAGCGAGGATACGAGAAAAGGCAGCCTTCAGCCACATCCTCTGTTAGAAGCATACACTAACACATGGGACACAACAGTTCACAATATGTTCATTTGTTGTTTCAAACCACACTCAGCAATATTCCATCTATGTAAATAATCCAGTCTGAACCAGAGACTCAACTGACCTATATTGAGAGCAACAGACCCTCCCTTGAGAGCCGATTTAAGACTCTGTGGAAGGATTCAGTGTTGACGTATTAATAAGAGTACTTAACAAGAACGATAACTCTGATTCTATCGATCATATTAATATGTTGGCACTTCCTCTGTTCATGCATATTCATGTTCTCTAAGTACTGAACGAAAATATCCTCTGTTTAGAATGCAAATGTAAACAACCTCGTGTCTCTTTCTTGGAAATCAACACCATTTCGGTATTTGTTCAATGTTGACCGGCCAGTTATTTATAGAAATATGCTGTTCAATTTATGTGCATCCATAATGTTGTAGTTTGGGTTTGGTATTATATAATGACCACTAACAACACACTACCTTGGATATTTGATACTGTTCGTGTTTTTGTTTCAGTATACTTGTAAAGTTTCTTAGTCCTAAAAGTGTTTGCTTCTGTTGTATTCAGCTCCACGAATAAACTACTTGGGCTTGTGCTATGAACCACCTGGCGCAGACCCACGTGAAACCTTATCAGTTTCACTGTCATCGCCAGCAGGTACACATGCATTAATATTCAGAGATATAAACCCATTCATCCCTGCACTGTCGGAGTTCGTATGTGTCTGCTTGCTCCGGTGGTGTACCTGAACATGATACTTCCATGTGGTGTTACATAACTGACTGCGCACCTCTTTCTGACCTTAGGTTGGCAATGCTTTCACTTAGAACAGTCTGCCACGCCTAGTTTCCAGGGTGATGTGTTATAGCCTGGCACATACATATATCAACATGGTGGTGTACAGTGATGTTACTAAACTTGTTGGTAGGTAATATTTGTGAGTGCTTGTGAGAATGGTTTAGATCAAATTGGTGAGCTTGTGTGTGAACAGAATGGATAAAATTGGCGCGTGATTATGAGTATAGTATGGATGAAATTGTTGACGAATTGTGTGAATTGTATGGATAACGTTCACAAGCGTCTGTGTGAATAGCATGGATAAAATTGTTGGGTAATTGTGTGAATAGTATGAATAATGTTGGTGCATGACCGTGTCAATAGTATTGATAATGTTGTTGAGTGATTGCGTTAATAGTATGGACTAATTGTGTGAATAGTATGGATAATGTTGGTGTGAACAATGTTGGTGACTAATTGTGTGAATAGTATGGATAGTGTTGGTTAGTGATTGTGTGAACAGTATGGATAATGTTGGTGAATAATTGTGTGAATAATATGGATAATATTGTGACTAATTGTGTGAATAGTGTGTATAATGTTGGTGACGAATTATGTGAATAGTATGGGTAATGTATGTGACTAATTTGTGAACAGTATGGATAGTGTTGGTTAGTGATTGTGTGAATAGTATGGATAATGTTGGTGACTAATTGTGTGAACAGTATGGATAATGTTGGTGACTAATTGTGTGAATAGTACGGATAGTGGTGGTTAGTGATCGTGTGAATAGTATGGATAATGTTGGTAAGTGATTTTGTGAATAGTATGGATAATGTTGGTGACTAATTGTGTGAACAGTATGGATAGTATTGGTTTGTGATTGTGTGAACAGTATGGATAATGTTGGTGACTACTTGTGTGAACAGTATGGATAGTGTTGGTTAGTGATTGTGTGAATAGTATGGATAGTGTTGGTTAGTGATTGTTTGAACAGTATGGATAATGTTGGTGACTAATTGTGTGAACAGTATGGACAATGTTGGTTAGTGATTGTGTGAACAGAATGGATAATGTCGGTGACTAATTGTGTGAACAGTATGGATAATGTTGGTTAGTGATTGTGTGAATAGTATGGACAGTGTTGGTGACTAATTGTTTGAACAGTATGGATAATGTTGGTGACTAAGTGTGTGAATAGTATGGATAATGTTGGTTACTAATTGTGTGAATAGCATGGAAGCCGTCACGGGGTACACATAGTACATGACCTTGACTATTAGTTGTCAGTATTTATCCAGTCCGTTTTTGTGGAAACTCCCATGGCTCAGTGGATGAGCTGACTTTGTGTGCTGGCGATTTGATGCCTGACTCGTTAGTACTAGAACATGTACTTTTCTAAGAAAGTGTAATCCCATAAAAATATAACATGCTACTTTTGACATGTTCTCTTTCTAAGAGGATTTGTGTATTCGCACGACGATTTATAAGCCTTTGGCTAGAATAGTTGTTATATTAATATATATTAGATTATGGAATATATGGATTGATGTCTTTCCCACGTCAAGTTGTTACATATTCTATGCATATTCGACAGAGCAAGCATGAGTCCCGTTGCTGAGAAAGTACTCTGTATAGCAAAACGTCCACAAATTCTTAAATACAAGTCATAGGTCAGCTTAATGCGGAATGAAAGCTTGAAGGGATCCACTCTGGTGGAAACCTGAAGCATAGTTGTGGTGCTGACAAACCTGAGACATTATCAGGGAGAACCAGGATTCGAGCACACGAACATCTGGCAAACATAAGGGAAGCGGCTCACATCACAACACACCTTTGAACATCAAACTCTAACTAAGTTAACCGTGTTCAAACTCTGTCCACTATCTTCCCACAAGATTGAGTTAAGCAAACAAACAAACAAATATCACTGAGAATGGGTAAACGTTGTCATTAGAGATTTCAATTGCCCAAAGTCGGTTTCTCATACTGTATATCGCCAAGATAAAACTGAAAGCGGCGTTAAACCTCACTCACTCACTCATTCACTCACTCACAAATATCGCTTAGAATGGGTAAAGGTTGTAATTAGAGACTTCAACTGCCCAAGGTCGGTTTCTCACCCTTCGTGGTGTTTATGTAATCACAGGAACTTATGTTAAACTGTCATTAATGTAATCAGATCACAATCAGGATAAATGTACCGGAAAATATATTTTGCTTATATCAGCCAAAAAACGAAAACGAACCCTTTTCAACAACAACAAGTTTTCATGTCAACGATGTATATAATATTACCAGTACACTGTAATAGTTTTAAGAAATGTCTTTCAAGGTAGTGAGGTAATGGTGTGTGACGTCGCAGTCAACCACCCGACATCACGGCAACTATTTTAAACCAGAGAGACCAGTGGTTGCATGTCACACATTGTGAACACACGGTCCTCAATGAGCAGCCTCTGGAACATTCCGAGTTCGATGGTGAGTCATCCCCAGTAGTGCTTATAACTGTAGCTGCATCAATTGCTCATTCTTTTCGGGGTAAAGAGTAACATCTGTAACTCGCAATTTCTATTGGATAATCAAAGTCATGACAGATTAAACTATTCTGATCTCTGCGGTTAATCGTTTATGGACAAAAAGATGACTTTGTCAGGTATAACTGAACCGCTGTCCAAAGCGGCGTTAACCATAACTCACTCACTCACTCCAAGAGAGGTCGGACTTCCTTTGTGATTGGTGAGTGTAGTACGTTTGTGAGCGTCTGTCACTGGTTGTCTTGGATTTCGCCAGCTGTCTCAACTTCAGGCATAACTAGGCCCTAAGCTAAAGTGTCTTCTTTAGGATTTTATGGATGCTTCCT